CTGGCACTGGCCTTGGCCCCGCCACTGGGGGCACCGCGCGTGCCCTTGCCAGCCCTGGTGCCCTTGCCGGCCCCGGCCCCGGGGGCGCCGTGCATGCCCGCACCGGCCCCGGCCGCGCGGAACCTGGGCAGCCCCTGCCGGGGATTGCAGCACATGCTGCTGCCAGCCTCGGGCGTGCGGCGCATGCTTGGCCCCACCCCAGTCACGTGGCCGGTGAGCGGCCCCGCCCCCTTACGCACAGCACGTGAGCGGCCCCACCCCCAAGCGCCCGGCAGCCCCAAAAGGTTGGGGACCACTGGACTAGATGATCATAATGGTCCCTTCTGACCTTAAAGTCTATGAGTATTGTGTATCACAGAATAATAGAAATGAAAGGCAGGAAAAAACCCTGATAAGTCACCGAGTTCAGCCCAAGCATTGAGAAAGGACCAGCTAAACCAAGACAACCCTTGACAACTCTTTATCTAACCCGTTCTTAACAAACTGCCAATGATAAGTATTGCACAACTTTCCTTGGAAACCTATTCCAGAGCTTAACTAATCTTATAGTAAGAAAGCTTTTCCTAATATCTAACCTAAATCTCCCTTCTGCCAATTACTTCTTGATCTATCTTCAGTGGATATGAAAGAAAATTGATTCCTCTATTCTTTATAACAGCCATTAACCTATTTGAAAATGTATCAGGTTTCCACCAAGTTTTTTCTAAAGACTATATATTTCCATTATTTTAAATCTTCAGGTTCTCTAATCATTTTATCGTTTCTGTTATTCCCTTCTGGACTCTTTCCAATTTGTCCATACCTCTCCTCATTCAAGCTGAGGCCTTCTAAGCACTGAGTAGAGCATGCCATATTTTACTTACAACACATCTGGTAATACACCCCAAAATAATAACTTTTTAACGACTGCATTACATTGTGGTGTATTATAACCTCAGAGTACTACCACAAAATGGTTACTTACCTTCCCATAACTATTGTTCATAACCATTCCAAATCAGGTGTTCATGTGCACGTTAGCTGGAAGATTTTCCCCTAGCAGCTAGCTGTAGGGTTAGCCTGGGTGCCCTCTGGAGTTGGGGCTCCATGATGAGCAATATGGTGCCCCACAGATTCCTACCTCCTTCCATTACTTCCTGTTGGTTGCTCCTATAGAGGGATAGGAGGGAAGGTACCGGAATAGACATGAACAATACATCTAGAAGAACAACAGTTATGAGAAGGTAAGTAACCATCTTCTTTGTGTATTTGTTCATGTGCATTCCAAATCAAGTGATTCCAAAGCCAAGATTCAGGCAGTGGTGTTAATGCAGCATGCTCTTCCAAAGGCTCTCTCATCCTTGGACTGCTGGGTAATCACATAATGGCCTGTAAAAGTGTGGATAGAAGACTATGTTGCAGCTCTGCAGATTTCTTGAGTGGGAATGAGAGCCAGAAAAGCTGCTAATGAGGCATGTGCCATGGGAGAGTGTGCTGAGAGTGGTGGCAAAGATAGGCTCACTCGGTTATAATAGTCCTTAATACAGGCTACTGCATTAATCCACGATGAAATGCATTGGGACGACACAAGATGACCTTTCTTTTTTGGCCACTGCTATGAATAATTGAGGGGACTGTCTAAGGATTTCATTTGGTCAGTATAAAAAACTAGCACTCTGTGCATGTCCAGAGAGTATAGCCTCTGCTCATGGTGATTAGCATGAGGTTGAGGCTAAAACACGGGAAGAAAAGTCCTAGTTCACATGGAACGGGGAGATCACCTTTGGTAAGAATGCCAGATGAGGTTGGAGCTAGCTGTACCTTGTCCTTATAAAAACAGTATTGGGGGGTTCTGAGGTGAGAGTTCTAAGCTTTGATACTCTTCTGGCAGAAGTTATAGCTATGAAGAATGCTGCCTTGAATGACAAGAAAAACAGCGTGCAAGTGTTGAGTAGTTTACATAGAGGACACACAAGTTTGGATAGGATTAAGTTAAGGTTCCAGGGAGGAACCAGTTTACGGACTTGAGTGTTGTCTGTTTTGACCCTTTAAGAAGAGGTTAACCAATGGGTTTGTGAACATTGAGATCCATGATTAAAAGTCAATATGGCAGCTAAATGTAATCTGATAGAAGAGAATGAGAGCTTCTGTTGCTTAAAATGGCAAAAAATAATCCAAAATGAAGGGTACTGGGGCATGCAGCAGGGAGAAACCATGT